ACTCTAGATGACATAGATTCCATGGATGACAGTCTGGCAAAGCATATGGACCCCTTCTTAGAATAATGTGTTTTAAGGCATAAAATAAAACAAACAGAATTACACAAGAAACCAATTGTACTGAAATACACTCATCAAAATATATATTTTATAAAAAACAAGTTCACAGATCCCAAGTTAAGAATCCCAGCATTTAGGAGCAGATAGGTGGCACAGTGGATAGAGCACTGGCCCTGGAGTCAGGAGGACCTGAGTTCAAATCTGGCCTTAGACCAAACACTTGACACTTAGTAGCTGTGTGACCCTGGGCAAGTCACTTAACCCCAATTGCCTTAAAAAAAAAGAATCCCAGCATTATTTTAAGAACCTGAAAAAGTTATGCATGTCTTCCATCTTTAAAATGAGAACCATCATGTTGCTGCCTTCCTGTTTCACAATTTCATTAGAAAATGAAGTATTCAGCCAGTATACTGGTACATGGGCTTTGGAGCTGGAACTCATAGGTCCTCTTGAGTAATCTCTCCATTTTAGATATATGGAAACCAAGACTCACAAAAAGTGGAATGATCTATCCAATGATACACAACAATATGTGGCAGAGCCAATGTCTTTGTACCAGGTCCTTCAAACAATGCCCTTAAGAAAGTTACACTCTTAGTTTAATGTTTTTTACCTCAGTGAATATTCTTCAGTCTTCCAGCCAAACAAAGAAATACTCAGGAACAAAATGAATTAGGACAAAGGAAAAGGATTTTACACCACAAGTGGCTAGTAATTATATGGAACTCATCTTATCCAAGAAGTTGGACAGATTTAAATTATGAATAAATTCAAAAGAGATGACGTTAATTAATGGATGGCAACGCCATAATGTGTTGCTAAAGAAAGCTAAAAGGTTAGGAATGAAGAAGACAAGAATTTATTAAGTGCCTATTACATGCCAGGCACTGTGCTAAGCACTTTACAAACATTTAATTCATTCCTCACGACAGCCCTGGAGGTTGGTGTTATTATTATCCTTATTTTACAGTTTAGGAAATTGAGGCAGACAAAGACAGAGTCAACACAGTTGATAAGCATCTGAAGGCAGAGTTAAACTCGGGTCTTCCCAACTCCAGGCCTAGCACTCTATCCACTAGCTATCCCTATAGGATATGAGATATCCCTGATTCAATTCAATTCAGCTCAGTTAACTTCAATTTAACAAATGTTTATGAAGTACCTACTATTTAGATGGTACTCTGCCAGATGCTGGTAATAATGATATAATAACAAAAATAAAACAGTTCTGTGCCCTTATTGAATTTACATTCTACTGGAGAGGATATAATGTGTACTCAGATAAGTAAATCTCCTATAAGATTATGAGCTCCTTAAGAGCAGTGATTGGGTGGGGTTTTTTTGGGAGGGGGGTTGAGGGAGAGTTGCCTTTATTTTATACTCAGTGCTTAGCATAGCATTGGCACACAGAAGATACTTAATAAATACTAATTGACTGACTAAATATAAAGTCTATAAAAGTAATAAAAACTAATTTCTATGAGAAAATGCCAAAAACTGGAAGGGGATCAGGAAAGCCCCATGTAGATGGTCTTATCTTCCAAATGTATTCTGAAGGAATTTAAAGATTCTAAGAGATAGAGATGAAGAGGGAGTGGATTTAAGACATGCACATCCACCTAGCGCAAGGAGATGAAAGACAGATTGTTATGTAAAAAGATTGCATGAAGGGGAGTAAGGCACAGGTTTCAGAGAGTTTAGATGGCAGGCTGTCGAGTTTGTATTTTGTCCTAGACATGAGAGGGAACTGCTAAAGGTTTTAAAGAAGGCAAAGTGATATGGTCAAATCTGTTTAAGGAATATCAATTTGGCAGCCTTGTGAAGGATGGGGTTGGAGAGGGTAGAAAGTAGAAGCAGAAAGAGCATTTAAGAGACCAATTCATGCTAGAAGTGACAAGAACTTGAACCTAAGTAGAGGACTTTAGAGAAAGAAGGAAATAGATGTGATAGAGATGTGGGTAGACAGAATCAATAAGGTGTGAGAAGTGATTGGATATGGGGATGTCAGGAAAGGGGGAAGGGTCAGTTAATAACTACAAGATTTCAAAATGGGGTCGCTGGAAGAACAATAGTGCTCTCAATAGAAAGGGGCAAATTTGGAAGATCAATGGATTCAGTGGAAAATATAATAAGTTCTATGTTGAACATGAATGAATTAAAGAAAAATTATTTATTAAGTGCTTATGATGTGTCAAAGACTGGGCTAATTTAGAGTTGTTAAGTCACTTTTCAGTCATATCTGATTCTTCATGACCCTGTGTGGGGTTTTCTTGGCAAAGATACTACAGTAGTTTGCCATTTCCTTCTCCAGCTTATTTTACAAATGAGAAAACTGAAGCAAATAGAGTTAAGTGACCTGCCCAGGGTCACACACGTAATAAGTGTCTGAGGCCACATTTGAACTGAGGAAGATGAATCTTCCTGACTCCAGGCCTGGCACTCTATTCCTTGTACCACCTAGCTGCCCAATTCATGCAGACACATATACAGAAGAGAAGTAGTCTCCACCTTCGAGGGGTTTATATTCAAATAGGGGGAGACAACTCACAAAACAGAATGGTAGCCACGGAAAGGTGTTTTAGTCTGGGGAGTCACTAGGTTGATGAGCGGAAAAAATAGGTCAGCCAATGATACTGCCTTTTGAAGTGGCAATGGTAGTGTTGATTTGATTACACTTCTTAGAGCAAGGGGTGAAAAGGTAGGGAGAAGGATCTGCCTACAGTAACAAGAAGGAAAATGGACAGGTTGAAGATGAGTAAGGAGCTGAGTGTCTTATCTCCTACCAGGCATGATCTCTGGAAGTCCAACTTGGAGGAGGGGGACTGGGGAGAGAAACAGCTACAGCATGGGAAAGAAAATTATATATTGAGTTTGAGATACTTATGGCACATGTAAAAAATCAGATGTCCAGCAAGTAGTATGTGTGCAAACTGGAGTACAGGAGAAAGAATGGACTTCTTCCTTCCAATTCTCAAATTCTGTGATAGTCTAAGATAATTCCAAAAGACTCATGATGGAAAATGCTAGGGGACAGCTAGGTGGTACAGTGGATAGAGCACTGGCCTTGGAGTCAGGAGGACTTAAGTTCAAATCCAGCTTTAGACATTTACTAGCTGTGTGACTTTGGGCAAGTCACTTAACCCCAATTGCCTCAAAAAAAAAAAACAATGAAGTTAGAAAATGTTATACACATCCAGAGAAAGAACTATGGAGGCTGAATGCAGATCAAAGCATATTATTTTCTCTTTTTTTGTTGTTGTTTTTCTTTCTTATAGTTTTTCCCTTTTGTTCTGATTCTTCTTTCACAACATGACTAATATGGAAATACGTTTAATATGATTGTCCATGTATAGCCTATATCAGATTGCTTGCCATCTTGAGGAGAGGGGAGAGGAGGGAGGGAGGGAAAAGAAATTTGGAACTCAAAATCTTATAGAAGTGAATGTTGAAACCTATCTTTACACGTAATTATGCATACACAGTGGGGGAAAATTCTGTGATTGTGTGAGGTGATAATTGAAGCTATGAAATCTAATGAGGTCACCAAAGGAGAGAGCAAAGAAATACCCAATTTCTGAGAATGACATTAAGGGATCACATTGTATCACATGATCCGGGGCTAGGAAGGACCTCCTCACCATGCAGCCTAATATACTTGCCCTTCCCCAACTATCCTTCAGAATCTATAGTCCCTATGTGACCTCTGCTGTTTCAAATGTAATTGCACTACACAAAACCAGCTATGTGGTCCACCGGCTTACAGCCTTGGGGCAGCCCCTGATCACCCCTCCTTTTACATAAGAAGGACTTGAGATCCATGGAGAGAACCTGACTTGCTCAAAATCACATAGGACACATGTGGATTAGAGTCCAAGTCTCATCTCCCCACTCCAAATCCAGCCATCTTTCCACCATACAATACTGCAACCCTAAAATGAGATTCTGATGAAAGAAAAACCTTATATAGTCTGCACTGAAAAATTAATAACTATTATCAGCTATATGTACCTTTTATGCAAGGGATATCTGAGGGGAGGAAAAAAGTCTACGTTCTGACAAGTACGGAGTAGACAGGCCAAAAGCACTAAGAGAACCCCAACTGTGGACAAGTCAGAAATAGCAAGTGGCAATCAGAAATGACATGCCATTGAAAATTTTTTTATAATATTTTATTGATGCTTTTTTTAAAACACCAAATTCACTCATCCATAACTACTTCCTCTCCCCAAAATAGAGCCCTTCCTTATGACAAAACCAACCTAAGGAGCAGTCTGACAGTGTATACAACACTCTCTATCCATAACCCAACACTTCTCTACCAAGAAGAAGGAAGCAACATGTTTTATCACTGGTTGAGAATTCTTTTTGGAAAAAAAAATACTCCAGGGAGACCATGCATCCAGGAGGAATTCATGCACAGTAACAGATGCTACAAAAAATTATTTCTATCATAAACCCAAAAAAGCCTTTCTCTCTGCAGGAGTACAGAGTCTATAGGTTATATGTGAGGGCGGGGAAGATGAAGGGGTTTAACTACATTCTCCCATGCATAAGGACAAATCATTATGATAATGTCTCATCAACTATGTAGGACGACAAGACAATATCTGACATCCAGAAAAATATTTCAATCTACTTGGAAACCTCTACTTTGCAACATTCCATTGAATTCATAAGAATTCCTTTTCCTTTTCAAAGAGCTTTTTCATCTGTCTCCACAACCTCATAATATGCTACAGAGGGAGATGTACCAAGAAAAATTATCTATTTCCTTTAGATAGATGAATAAAGTAAAGCAGAGAGTGGACAAAGAACTTGCCCACACCCATAAAGGGAATTAGCTGGCAAAGACAGAGCGAGAACCAAATTTTCCAGACTGCCATCCGGGGGCTCTTCCCATTAGACAATCATAAGCCACTTCAGGAAAGCATATAACTAACCTCCACATTCCAGTGAAGCTGTACATCGTGCTCACACATCGGGGAAGGGCAGGGGGTCGGAGTCCATCCAGCTGCATGGCCAGGGCAGGAACACCAAAAAGGACCAAGTACTTCACGTAAAAAAAGAGTACTTGGGCTAATGCTAGTCCACCTAAAAGGCAAAGAAGCTCATTAAAAACACCTGATGGTCCCCTCGCTTGCTATAATATCTAACAAATATACCACCCCCCCATCTCCACCTCCACTCTGCCCATTACAAAAAACAAAACAAAATAACCTACGCCAACCAAAAAGCATTATCAAACATCTCTTACTGAATCATCACTGTTGACTCTATGAATAACCTGAGTTAGCAAATCTCAAACATTGTCACCACCTTTATTAATGGTTTCAGGGGACAAAACTATATCCACATTATAGATAACATGCCTTACCATTTCTATTTCAAATGCACAAAGGAAGTTCACTCTTTGAAAGAATTCCAATGAATTTTTTTTTCTAACAAAAGGTCTTTTAACATGGAAATCATCACAGCCAAATTTTCATTTCAGGGCTTTATACATAGGGCCAATTGTAATGGCCAATTGTAATTGCTATAGTTGTCTTTTACATTTTTTTCTATTATAAAAAGCTTGTGCTTTATTTAAAATCTGTGATAAAGTCAATATATTAGTTTCAAAACCATCCTGCTTAATTTTATTTCCCTCTGAACTTTCTTCAATAACATTCTTTTCTTTCTTTTCTCCTTTATTTTGGCATTACTAGTACCACCCCCATCTCTCCCTCAAACTTCCTCGCAATTAAACAATTCTCTCTTGTTACAAATAAGCATAATTAAGCAGGATAAATCAAGCACTGGTCATATCTGAAAATGTTTATTGCATTCTGAACCTCTAGTCCATTGATGCCAAAAGGGGAATAGGATGCTTCACCATTAGACCTCTGGAGTCAGGATTGGTCATTAAATTGTTCAGAGCTCTCACATCTTTCAAAGTTATTTTTCTTTACAATGTTTCAGTTATTATATAAATTGTATTCTGATTCTATTTATTTCACTCGACAACAATTCATGCTACTTTTCTCAGGTTTCTTTGAATCATTCCCTTTCATTGATTCTCTTAGCACTATAATATTCCATTACATTCATATATTCTAATTTGTTCAGCCATTCACCAATCAATGGACACTCCCTGCCCTAATTTTCAGGGGGGTTTGCTACGACAAAAATGTTGCTATGAATATATTTGAAGATATGTCCTTTCTCTTTTTATTTAATCTCTTTGGATATGTGTCTAGCAGAGACATTGCTAGGTCAAAAGAATACACATAGTTTGGTGACATTTTGGGCTATAGTTCCAAATTGCTTTCCAGAATAGCCGGACCAATTCACAGCTCCACCAACAATGCATCAGTTAACTTATCCTCCCACAGCATCTCCAATAGCTGTCATTTTCCATTTCTATCATCTCACCCAATCTGATCAGTGTGCAATAGAAATTCAGTTGTTTTCATTTGAATTTATCTCATTATTAGTGACTTGTAGCATATTTCCATATGGTTGTGGTTAGCTTGGTTTTCTTTCCCTGAGAACTGCCTGTTCATATCTGTTGACCAGGGAAATGGATCTATTTTTTTAAATATTTGAATCAGTTCCTCAAGTATTTTGGCTATCATACCTTTATCAGAGAAACTTGTTACAAAAATTTTTTTCCAGTTATGTTTCTCTTCTAATTTTAGCTACACTAATTTTATTTGCAAAAGATTTTTAAATTATGTAACCAAAATTATCTACTTTATCTCAGGTGATTCTCTTTATCTCTTGTTTGGGCAAGAACTCTTCCCCTACACATCATGGCAAAAAACAATATCTCCTTATTAGGAGGTTATTTTAGCACATGGTATGAGATGTTGGTCTAAACCTAATTTCTTTGACACTGCACTCTAGTCTCCCCAGTTGAATTTGTCAAATGAGTCCTAAATCCAATAGTTGGAGATTAGATTTATTTAATATGTTATCACTATATTAATTTATTTCTGTATGCTGTGTACCTTATCAGTTCCACTGATCATTTTTTCTGTTTTCAAACAACACTAAATAGTTGTAACATTTATTTGTAGTATATTTTAAGATCTGGCATGGATAAGCTCCTTCCTTCCCACTTTTGTGATTGTTTCCTTTTGACATCTGGACCAAATTATATTCTTCCAGATAAACATATCAAAATGCTGGGGACTGCTAGCTTCCTCTAGGACATCCCTATCAGAACACTGCTATTAACCTCATGTCCATGGTCAGAACAATCAAAGTACTGCAGTGTCCCAATACCCCTGTGGCTTCCCATTTTTGGGGGGGATTCCTGTCCCCACTCCACCTCCAAATATAAAGTACTATAGGCTTCAGATACCCATGGATCATCTCTGGTCCCATTTATTTACCTGTGCTCATGCTGGCTTCCCTGAAAGAAGGGTCCTATAAATATTCTGCTTTCTTTTTGTGTTATTCTGGGATGGATGAAGACATTTATGGTAGTTTCTCTTTGGATTTCCTAATCACTATTTGATCTAATGCTATTTTTATATCTTTGCTGGTGTAAAAATAAGAGACCTTGTCTCTTCCATGATTTTTCCTATAGCTATCTTAACCAAAAGTTCCCTTTACTTGTTAAAGTAATTCCAGAGCTTTACTATCAAAAAATGCAAATGACTCTATTTCTTATCTCCATGTAAAGAAAAGCTTAAAGAATTCAACCTAAGTCAAGAAGCATTTATTAAGCACTTGCTGTATCCCACTAAATGGGCTAGATGCTAATGATACTTAAGGAATAAGGAATTTGGGGAGAAGTCAAGAAGACAAAGTTAGAATCAGCATTTTTGCAAAGTTCTCCCAACATATCCCTTCTATGACAACCTAAAAAAGTGCCAAACCTCATTCTGATTGGGAAAACCAAGAAAAAGTCACAGCTAACCATTTTTTCCTATTTATTTTGCATGCTTCTTATTTGTACTTATTTGTTTGCATTTTTGTGAATATTTGCCTTCCCCATTAGATTGTGAGCTTCTAGAGGACAAGGACTATCTTTTGCCTCCTTTTGGATCTCCAATGCTTAGCACAGTGCCTGACATATAGTTGTTGTAGCTGTTGTTGCTGAGTTGCTTTCAGTTGTGTCTGACTCTTCATCACCCCATTCGGAGTTTTCATGGCAAAGATACTAGAATGGTTTGCCATTTTCTTCTCCAGTTCATTTTACAGATAAAGAAACTGAGGCAGACAAGGTTAAGTGACTTGCCCAGGGTCACACAGCTAGTAAGTGTTAGAGGCCAAATTTGAACTCAGGAAGAAGAGTCTTCCTGACTCCAGGCCCAGCATCACATCCATTGGGCCACCTATAGTATATACTTAATAAATGTTTATTAGTTAGATGAATTGCTACCATTACTATTCAATATCATACTAAAAATGCTAGTTATAACAATAAGACAAGAAAAAAGATGTTGCAAGAATAAGCACAAACAATGGGGGGGGGAACTATCACTTGTAGATGATAGTTGTAGACAATAGGTTGACTTAGAGAGCCCAAGAGAGTTAACTTAAAAAGCAATCAAAGCAATTAACAACTTCAGCAAAGCTGGAGGACATAAAATAAACCTACACAAATCATCAGCCTTTCTGCATATTACCAATAAAACCCAACATGAAGAATTAGAAAGGGAAACTGAATTTAGAATAGCTACAATAGAAAAATTTGGGAGCCTACCTCAAGACATACACAGAAGCTATATGAACACAATTACAAAACACTCTTCACAAATAAATAATAATGTAAATAATCAGAAAAATATTAATTGTTCATGTGTAGCCCTGGGCCAGCATAATAACAATTACAATACTTCCTAAAGTAATTTATACATTCAGGGCCATACTGATCAAATTACCAAAGAATTACTTTACAGAATTAGACAAATTTGTAAAAAAAAAAATTCATCTGGAGGAAGAAAAGCTCAAGAATATGAAGGGTATATGTGTGTGCATGTAGGAAGGAGGCCTAACAGCGTCAGATCTCAAAACTACACTACAAAGCTATAATCATCAAAACAACTGGTACTGAGAAAGAAATAGGTTGGTCAATGAAACAGATTAGATTCACAATACACATAAGCAAACAAGCTGAGTAACTTAACATTTGATAAACACAAAGATTCCAACTATTGGGGCAAAAACTCACTTGGGGACAAAAACTATGGAGAAAACTGAAAAATAGTCTGGCAGAAACTAAGTATAAACCACCATCTCCTATCATATAACAAAGGTATGTTCAAAGTAAGTTCAAGTAAGCTCAAAATAAGTACATGGTTTAAACACAAAGGGTGATATCACAAGCAAATTAGTGGAACATGGAAGAAATTACCTATCAGACCTATGGTTAAGGGAAGACTTTTTGACCAAACAAGAGATATTGAGGTTCACAGGAAGTAAAATGGATAATTCTGATTATACAAAATTTGTTTTTGCACAAACAAAACCAATGCAGCTACAATTAGGGGAAAAAAAGCAGTAATCTAGGGGGAAAATCTTTGTAGCAAGTTTCTTTGATAAAGGTATCATTTCTAAAATACATAGGGAACTGAGTCATACTAGAACAATAATCATCCACCAAACGACAAAAGTCAAAAGATATGAATAGACAGGGGTTTTTTTTTTGGGGGGGGTTGTTTGTTTGTTTGTTTTAGGCAATTGGGGTTAAGTGACTTGCCCAGGGTCACACAGCTAGTAAGTGTCGAGTGTTTGGTCGGAGGCCAGATTTGAACTCAGGTCCTTCTGACTTCAGGGCCGGTGCTCTATCCACTGCACCATGTAGCTGTCCCTAATAGACAGTTTTTAGAGGAAGAAACCAAAACTATCAATAACCATATGAAAAAATGCTCTAAATCACTAATATTTAGGGAAAAAAGCACATTCAAACAACTCTCACACCCTTGACTAAAATATCAAAAAAAAGAGGTTAGTGCTATTATTATCCCCATTTTACAAATGAGAAAACTGAGGCAGACAATGGTTGTGTCTTGCCTGCAATCAAACAGCTATGAAGCATCTGGTTCTGAACTCAGGTCTTCATGAAGCCATGTCCAGGTGCTGTACCTACCATTCCACCT